ACTATATATATATATATATATATATATATAATCTTATCTTATCTAAATAATTATTAAATGATTGAATAGTAACAAGATGATTTAAATATCATAATATTTATGAATATGCAATATATATACATCTTAAATGTTTTGTGAATTACCTCCTATGATAGATAATAATTATTTACTCACTCATTAAATTCAGTATTAACCATTACTATACCATAGAGATTTGTATTCCATCTTCTTCAACTATAAAAGGAATGTTTCTCTTTCTACCACAAAACTCCTCAATCGATGTCAGACTAAGTTGGCCCTATCAGATGATCCCTCTAGTTGGAAGCCAAGGGCTCAAGGAGGGTTTGGGCCGCTCGAGCCCCACGGTAGACGCCTGATCGAACCATTTTGTCCTTTCAGAATCACAAAGCTCTAAAAAGCACATATGAGAATAAGAGATGCACGACTGTCTTATGAGCTCCCTCACTCCTTAATTAGTGGGACTAAGTTGGCCTTATTAATTCGATTCCATAACCCATAAAAGATTCTTTGGGATTCATTACATCTCAATCATGACTTGCCTCGAAGAAATGAAATCTCCTGTTTTCATCACACCATTCAATCACCCATCCACCATTGGCAATGCAACCGCTCATCGCCATCTTTATGACTTCCTAAAAATAACGTTCCCTAATTCCAGCAACAATGCCCATTCAACTTAACGTGTTCTGACAGCTCTGCTTCTCTTCCTTAAGCGTTCTTTTGTTTCCTGTTGAATTGCATATCAAAAGAACGGTTTTTATGGAGAGGATCTCCTCATTAATGGTGTTAATATTCTCTCTCTCCCTCTCTCTCTCTCTCTATGTGGATATTTTAGGCTCTTGACAGCAGGCTACATCTCTGTCTTCTTCTTCTTCTTCTTCTTCTTCTTCTTCTTAGAACTCACCACCAAACTCCAATTTGCCTGCCAGAAGTGAAGCCATGAACAATCAGAGCAGCAGCAACGACAACAAGGTATGTTGGATCAGCTTTCTTCTCCTTCAGCAAAAAATCAAGCAGAAAACTTCTTGTGTTCTGCCTTCTCTCGACTTTGGCCCAATGGATTATGCAGACTGACAAGGATAAGGCCATCGACGACTGGCTTCCCATCACATCATCGAGGAATGCCAAGTGGTGGTACTCCGCCTTCCACAATGTCACCGCCATGGTTGGAGCTGGTGTTCTTAGCTTACCCTACGCCATGTCTCACCTCGGATGGTAAGCCCGAAGCTATAGCTCCTTCTTCTTTCTGCAGATCAAATGGAAGCAGACACTGTGACGACTGGATGTGCGCAGGGGTCCGGGAATCGTGGTGCTCGTCCTGTCATGGATCATCACCCTGTACACGCTGTGGCAGATGGTGGAGATGCATGAGATGGTGCCCGGCAAGCGCTTCGATCGGTACCACGAGCTCGGGCAGCACGCCTTCGGGGACAAGCTCGGGCTGTGGATCGTGGTGCCGCAGCAGCTGGTGGTGGAGGTCGGCGTCAACATCGTGTACATGGTCACCGGCGGCAAGTCGCTCAAGAAGTTCCATGACGTCGTCTGCCCTGACTGCAAATCCATCAAGCTCACCTACTTCATCATGATCTTCGCCTCCGTCCACTTCGTCCTCTCCCAGCTCCCCAACTTCAACTCCATCTCCGGCGTCTCCTTGGCCGCCGCCGTCATGTCCCTCAGGTACGCGCCCTTCGCTGCGGCTGCTGTCTCCCATCGATCAAGCTCTGACCGCCCTCTCTGCTCTGCAGCTACTCCACCATCGCCTGGGCGACTCCCCTGCACAAAGGGAAGCAAGAGCACGTGGACTACAGCAACCCGGCATCGACCACCACCGGAGCCGTCTTCAACTTCTTCAATGCTTTGGGGGACGTCGCCTTCGCCTACGCGGGCCACAACGTCGTCCTGGAGATCCAAGCCACCATCCCGTCCACGCCCGAGGAGCCATCGAAGAAGCCGATGTGGAAGGGCGTCGTCGTCGCCTACATCATCGTCGCCATCTGCTACTTCCCCGTCGCTCTGATCGGCTACTGGGCTTTCGGCAACGCCGTCGACGACAACATCCTCATCACCCTGGAGAAGCCGCGTTGGTTGATCGCCATGGCCAACATGTTCGTCGTCGTTCACGTCATCGGCAGCTACCAGGTGACAAAACGCTAGGAATCCAAAGCTCTAAAGCATCATCAACCCAAGCATAAGCATTCGCATTCACTCTCGTGCAGATCTACGCGATGCCCGTCTTTGATATGATCGAGACGGTGCTCGTCAAGAAGCTTCATTTCCCGCCGGGACTAACTCTTCGTTTGATCGCGCGATCAGTTTACGTTGGTAATCGTCTTTGTTTGAGTCTATATCTTCGATGATTTCATTGCTTTGCGTAACGTTTGCCAATCTGCAGCATTAACGATGTTTATCGGTATAACCTTCCCCTTCTTCGGCGGACTGCTTGGATTCTTCGGAGGTTTTGCGTTCGCCCCAACCACATACTTCGTGAGCACCATACCATAGATTTGGTTCGCAGCATTTGTCAGTCGTAGTAGGTTAACATGTCGTGAAACTTGCACAGCTTCCTTGCATCATGTGGCTCGCCATCTACAAGCCCAGAAGGTTCAGCGCATCTTGGATCATCAACTGGGTGAGCAAGCAAGCAAAGAACAGACAGAGTTAGTTTGGAGATGTTGTCGACTATGGTTTTGATCTTCTTCTCGCTTCTTTTTTTTAGATCTGTATCGTCCTCGGAGTGCTGTTGATGGTTCTGTCGCCAATCGGCGGGCTAAGGTCGATCATTCTCCAAGCGAGCAGCTACCGTTTCTTTTCATAGGCTACGCCGCAGGGGAAGAAGCCAAAAGCGAAGGAAGAACAAACATGTTTGCTGTTCAAAGCACGGAATTCTTTGGGCAATAATGGTGTGGTCGTTTGATAGGTTCGGAAACTTGTGGGGGTGCGGAGTTTGATCGCCGTACCAAATTGCTGTTGTTTTCGTTCCTCTGTCGCTACTGATACATATTTCCTGCGCTGCTTCAAAATTATGGAGTGAGAATCGTACATGGATTTTATGCATAATGTTGAATGTTTTCAATGATCATACAAACTCATTGTTTCATGGTGTGGTCTACCGTTAGATACTGCTCGAATGATAAATCCTGGTCTGTAAAATCTCCAGATTCTAACTTTTCATCCTCAGAAATCTTCACTGTTCAACCAAACACAGTATTTTGGAGAGAAAAGAAGAGTCAATTCCTATTAGATTTTTTTCATTGTCGGACCCTCAAAAATCTCATATGCATATACTCATATCATCCATTGGCCATTCTTAGAATTAGTCTACCTCCATCGAATCCAGCCATATTAACTTTGATACTGATAGGGGGATTCCACAACCTCTTTAGGAACAATGAAATCATCATCAAGCATCAAAAGAAAGGTTAAGAATACAAATTGAATGCCCAAACAAACACATAATACTTGCAAAATTTACATGAAACATATATAAAAAGGCCTTTGATTGAAGTATGTGGTCCGACAGAGAATCCCACAAAGTATATCTTGAATAGAATGAATATTTTTTGAAAAAGTTCTTTTTTTTTTCTGACTATTTGATTTGTCTTTGTACAGTTTTGGGGGGGACAAGCAAAATTGTAATATCGAACAAAGATCTACAAACCCCACCTAGCTTCAAACTAATTTCATATGATGCATGCAATAGCAAATCCTTCTTTTCCTGTCAAAATGTCATCTTCACCAACAAATGAAGTTATGGCTAGTGATGATTTCCATATTGCCCAAACCATCACCAGTGACAGTCTTGTCCATTATCCTGGAGGTACCACTCCATCACAAGCGGTAACTCAAAAGAAGGGCTATCTATAATCACTCTGTACCATATTCTTCATACAACATTCACGATCTTCATATTGCTCAATCTTCATACCTGAAGAAACTGAAGGCATCACATTCAGATGAGCACACACCAAATTCACCATTGTGTCACTGCGATAGCAAAACTAACTCCAATATGTTAGTGGATTGGTATAGCAGAGTAACCAGAGTAGAAAACCATCAATCAATTTCTCCTTCCTCGGCATCATTAGCGGTAGCACCATTTGGCTCAACATCTTCATCCTCATCATCATCAACCTCAACCTTCATATACAAACCAAGCTGCTCCAAAGGGTTGCTTCCGCCAAGTTCAAAACCACTGATGCCCTCTGGCGAGTGATCTGGGCTCGTCTCACCAACTGAATTAGGTAAGTGTTCACCTGGAACAGTTCTAAGCATGTCCAGATCTTTTAGAAAAAGGGTGCTTTCATTGATCTCCACAGTTTTCTCCATCTGCATTACATGCTCAAGGTTGCCCTTCATCAGACACAAGGACAGACGAGCAACCAAATGCCTAACGATATACTTGCCTGTAACAAGGCTTGACGTGCTGCTTCCCTTTCAAGTTCCCTTTTGCGCTTAGCTTCTGCTGCAGCTTCTGCTTCAGCTAGACGTTGAGCCTCTTCAGCAGCTTTAGCTTCTGCTTGCAGCCTAGCTTTCTCTGATCTCAAGGTAAGACAAAAGTGTTCAGAAATGAGAAGCAAAACAAGCATAACAAGCAGTCCTTGGAACTTGCATGGTACCTTCTCTTTTCCGCCTCTCAAGGGTCTCCCTCTCACGTCGAAGCTTCTCTGGATCTCTCTTTTCACCCTAACCCAAAATATAAAATGGGAAGTCATGTACAAAAGCACCATAGAGTGAAAATATAAGAACACAACAAAAATATAGTTCTGTATCCATCATCCTCATTAGTATCTCAACCTGATCTAGAGTCTTCTCACGAGCTTTGAGAATTGTGTCAGCAAAGCGACTTCTCAGTAGAGCTGCTCGATAGAGCTTTTCAGGAGAGAAGCGCCTTTCAGATGGAGCATTATCACGTAAAAGGTCTGTGTCAAAAGTTAAGCTTATTCATGCATATTATATCCATATTCTTAACACCTTTTAGTTCATGATGCATGAAATGTAATTACTTACCCTCCCTGTTTCGTTCTATATCAACAGATTCAGATTTTGGCTGAGCAACATGTTCTTCTTGATTTGTCTCATCTGAAGTTCCTGCATGCAGTCAACGGTACATGCCTTCAGGCAACAACATAGGACCTAAATATAAGAACTGTATCTAATTTCTTGCTTCATGAGTCATTGCAGGCTTCACAAATCATACTATAGTAGAACTATAAAACGCAAACAGTTATAACTCACTGTTTTCATCATGTGGATTTGATAAATCACTTCTTTCTTGATCCAAAGCTTGACCAGCTAGCATATTTTTCTGCATGGACAACAATTGCAGTAAATAAAGTTTCTAAATGCAATGACTGCAAAAAAAAAAAAAAACTCATAGTAGATTTTCAAATGATAGTAAAAACAAAATACCGTTCCTTTTTTTAATTTACAAAGTCATGATGGATCTCAAATACCTTCATATCCTTCATGGGACTAGCAACTTTAACGTCTGACTCGCTTTCTGAGGAACTACCAGAATCTGAATCTGCAAGGAATTAAAAGACTACAATAATACACTATATTTGCAAGGCCTCTAACAAATCTAACTTATGCCATTGGATGGAATCAATATTTTACAAGGAATAGATAATGGAAAGCAACAAGAAACTGAATAAAAAATTCAAAATGATTTATACCAATCAAATATAAAGCTTTTAAATATTTTAACCTTTAAAATCATAAGATAAATATAATTATCTCAAAATTATCTTAGAGATACAAATTAAATTTTAGATCAGCATAAATCACTTAAATTTTGACAAGTATTTAAATGTTTGTTTCGTCACCTTCTCCTTTGAATTTTTGTTTCCATTTCTTAATCTTCTCTTCTCATATTCCTTTTTTTCTTCACTTTCATGCTATAGTCTCCAAGATGGTACTTTCATACCTATTAATCTACTTAAATCCCATAAAGCATGAGATTAAGTTTTCCCCTAAAACTTGTGTACTTGAAAATCCTCATGTGTGTGTGTGCATGGCACGGTGATGGCAATTCACGAGTGGCAATGACAATGAGATAAGACTCAAGTGTATAAACTGAGAGTCGCAAGTCAGAGTAGCTATGAGTTGTAGAGCTACAGCAAAGGGTTGCAAAGTGACCAATTTGTATAGGATCTGGGAGGTACTATTCTTCTTCACCCCCTCTTATTCTTCAGGTAGTTTGTAACAACAGTATCGGAATCAAGATTAACTAGGAATGTCAGACCAACTCGAGGGGCTCCCAATAAACATAACTTAAAATAAAACATAAAGATCACAAAAAATAAAAATATTAAATATTTGTGAAAATAAATATATTATATGTTTAAAGATTCTACTGAAAAGATAACAATAAATATTTGTGAAAATAAATATATTTGTGAAACTAAAGTTTTGAAAGATAAAAAACTTATACAAAAGATAACAATAAAAAAGGATATAACTTACAAAAGATCAACCATGAGATACATATTTCAGAAAATAATATAATCATATCATGCAAAAAGCTATTATATATCTCATACAATCTTGATCCAAAACTTATCTACCTGATATTATGATGAGTCTCACAATGCTGAAGAATTGCATAGTGCAAAAATAAATAAAATTTCATATTGAGGTTAATTTCAAATTCCATCATGATGTCTTCCTCCCCTAAGATAGCATCATTATTTTCAAAAGAGTTAAATAGTTATTCTCCATCCTAGTTTCTTCTCCTTCTTACAATGGTGGATGGTGAAATATTAGGGTTACAGTAATTTTAGAGTTCAATAATAAGGGTGTTTTACTCCCTATCAGTAATGAAGACACAGAGCTTCCTGTCAGCTTCTTAAACTCGGTACAGTCCTATCCAGTTTCACTGATATTTCCTTTCCAAAACAAAGTGATGAAGATTGGAATTAGCACATCTCCAGCTGAAACAGCCAATCCACTTCAGACATCAGCTAAGATCATCTAGTCTCCATCAATTATTGCATGGTTTGATATGGACTGACAGGTTGCATCAGAATGAGACAAAGAGGAAAAACGGGATGAAAAAAATAAGAAGACAAAAGAGAGAGGCATCCTTTTTTACCCACCAATCCCAAAGAGGAAGTCTGCATAACTTGAGGGCTTAAGGTTTTAAGGAAAATCCCCCTAAATCTTGTTCGGTCAAGATACTTCCAATGAAGAGGAAATTCTCCCCTTGATTTTTTATTCTTCAGATAACAAAGCAGTCTATAAATTTAAGTCACATAATAACTCCATTCTTCACATTGTTGGATTTTATACTTACTCATAACAAGTCTGGATGGTTTGATAGTTATGCCATTATAATATATTGCTAAAATCATGCACCATTTTTAAAGTTTGGTAGAACTTTTGGTAACCTTCAGCATAGGCAATAGTGTGTTTCTCCCTGTTCTTTGTTTTCATATTGCTAGTTTTCTCATCACTAAACCCAAATTGTACAGTAAAACAATTTGATGGTTCTATTTAGTCCTCTAATCTCTTTCCATTCATCCAAATAAGAAGTCAAGTTAAAAAAAATGGGGAAAGGTCAAGAGTCTGAGCTGTCCACATGATATGCTTCAATAGGTGGTTTCCCAAGCTACCATGAAAGTAAGAGCCACGATGAAATCATCCATCATTTTAGGAGCATCAACAAAGTGAATCAGGACTTGGTATGAACATGTAGTGAGTTCAAGAAACAGCACATGAACAACACTTAGTTTATGAATCAACAAGTAACATACAAAAACAAACATATTTTGACCTCATGAGCACAAAGTACTGATAAGAACAAAGACAAAGCGAGATCAGAAACATGAACCGACCGCTAGATGATGAACCAGAATCACTACTTGAGCTACTTGAACGACAACGCTTTCCACTTCTTAGCATAGTATCTTTTTCTATCACCACAGGAGGGTATCTAGAAACAGGCGGATCATTGCCAACAATATCAACATCCTCCTCAATTGGTTCATTGCCTGCAAAAATATCAGCAACAAGAGAACCATTAGATTAAAGTTTCAAAAATAGAGAAGCTCATAATCTAACTAAATAGAGAAGTTAACCTTTGCAAGGATGCATTGATGAATTGCTAAGCCCTGATTCGTTTATAATCTGCAGAAAAAAGAAAATGCGCAATCATGAACATAGATGAATATGTTAGTATATAACCACGTACCCAGTAATTCAATGCCCACCTCAATTTCACAAGGCTCTGATTTCGTTTGATCCTTTAACCGTTCCCTAACCATATAATCATCCAAAAGCTTCCTTAATTCAAACAGTAGATCATCGCTCATTGCATGAAGATCAATCTCTACCTCATCTGCACTAGTTTGGCTTGCCGCAATGTTCCTTCTTAAGAAATCAATTACATGTTCAGGCATGTCTCCTAGAGATTCCAGGCGCCTACTTAGGCTCTCTTTCTCCTCAACTGTCATTTTCGACCTCACAACCTCTGGTAAAATGATATCATGGTTAAAAGAAGGTGTTTTCCTCTTGTTTGGTTGCAAAATTGGCTTTGGAGTTTCAGCTTCTCTTTTGACAGCAGCATTTGCAGCAACCAATTTCTTTTCAATAGGTTTCCATCTTGTTTCAAAGAACTTACTCATAGCATCTGCCATAATGTGTACATCATTCTTAGGTGGATTATATGTCTTTGCATTTGTAAATGTCAGCCTCACATCTGAAACAAAATCGCATGGGTTAGAGTATCTGCCTAGTTGTATCCTAGTCTTGATGGTTCCAAAATCCATTGGATATTTAATAACTTGGAAGTAATCTGGGATATTCAACTTCACTGGATCAACAGGAGTGTTGAACACCCATCCATATTGATGGTTCATCAAGCGCTTTAGAAGAGTTTCACACTGTTTCATCAACAAAGAATATGAATTACCAAGTCTATCTGGATCCGGTGCCCTCTTTGACATCTCAAGATTTCCATTGTTCATGCACTTAAAATTGGAACCATTCTGGCCCATGGCATATTGTTTCTTTACATACCCATCACTGGAAGATGATAAAGCAACCCCATCGGCACTTGTTGTAATCCTAGAAAACATTTTCTTCTGAAACATTCGGACCTGATCAAGGTCTCTCTTAAATCTCGTCTCCAACTCCTCCTTCTCACACTTGGACATCTTCGAAAGTGAAAACAGTTCAAACGGGACATCAAATTTGCCACACCTGTCCACATTCAAGCTTATGCACTTCCTCTTAGGAGCAGAAGAGTCCTCTGAGTCAGCACGACCACAGCTCCCAAACCCTTCTGACTCAGCCGTAGTCTCCACTACATGCTGGTAGCCTGGAACAAAACCAGGTCCCTTTGAGAGCTTTTGTGCTTTCCCCATCACTGCATATAAATATATTCCAAGAGTTCTCCTTCAGCACTGCAGACGGATATAATGGATCAAACTCACAATTGTACTCTTGTCACAGAACCAATTCTCAGAGACCAACAAGATAACCTCGGTACAGCAACTTAAGTGGAAAACTTATTTAAGTACGTGATTCTTGATAGCAACGTATTCAGATTTCGGATAGCGATAACATTTCACACATTCAAGTACAGTAATTAATTAGGTGGTATCGCGTACCACAACTCCAAAACCCCACAGTTTTAAGCCCACCTACAATAAAGAGAAGAGAATTCAAGATAAAATTTATTCTGGAAGTCACAAGAATATCTGATGCCCAATATTGCGTAGCTTGAGCAGATTGAGAACTGCCCTGAGATCTCTGCAACAAAACCCTAGCTTCCACCAGATTGCCACCGCCACAATTCGATGTCCAAAATCAAATAGAGAACAAGGGGAAACCACCTCCGCCCCACCCTTCAGGGAATCAAAACCCCAAACCCTAGCTCTTCTGCAGCCCTTCCGCAGGTCCCTATGATAGCATCCACGCCAAAAAGCTCCGAAATGCCACAAAAACTCCAGCCCCAGTTCCCAAAATCCCACCTCCCTCCAAAACCATACACCAATACGGCGCAAGACGGGGCAAGAGAATGGAGGCGGCGGGGGCCGACAATCCGCGAGAAAAGAACGCGAAGAATGCTTCCAAGTACCGAGACGAAACGTGGATCGCAAGCCAGCGTCGCGCCGCCAAAAGGAGCCCCGACAGCGCAAACCCGTCTCTCCTCCGCTCTCGCCTTTGCCGCCGCCGCCGCCTCGCTGCTCCTCCCCACTTCTTCGAGACTCGGAACGGAAAAGAAACGAACGCGGAGAGAGACCCCTTCGGCTCCGAGTGACGAGGGCGTGGTTTATTCACACCCCGTTTCTTACAGACCCCATTTCACAATCCTGACCGTTAGATTCTTTTCGGTCATCTAGATCGAACAGTCAAGATCGACTCCGTAGTTTCCTTTTTAATGAAATGCCGCTATCGGATCCAAAGGCCAGCTAATCCGACCCGATTGGATCGAACGGTTAAGATGCCGCTATCGGATCCGAAGGCCCTCCGGTCCGACCCAACCCGATTGAGAAATGTTTGACTCCGATAGCTCATGTATCAGTTGACTTATACATTGAAAGACCCTAAAGAATAATGGAGACCACCTATGCAACAATGAAAGTATCTTAATTATATTAATTAGATATGATGATACTTCATTATATCAAATTAATTCATCAAATCTACATGAGAGTATCTTAATTCATCAACAATAGAAGAACCCTAGATCGAAGTTCCATGATCGTAGCCTAGCTAAATCGAGAAGTCAACCAGTGGAAGGATGCATTGATGAAATTGCTAACCCCTGGTTGATTTATAATATGCAGACAAAAAAAGGAAAATGTGTAGCCACTGAGATATAATCATCTAAAACTTTCTTAGTCTAAATAGTAGAGTATCACTCATTGTGATGCGTTGTGTTAGATTATATAATCCTATTTAATTAGGTAGGATATATTATAAATTTGATTGAATTATGATTATCGATCAATAAAATAAAAATTCATAGGATTCTTTACGATATAAATAGAAATGAATTTTTCTAATTATCGTGTTAGAATCTTGTTCTCGTCTATAAAAGGAGAGGATCTCTTAGAGACTCTCGCCTATAAAACGAAAGAATATCTTAGAGATGAAACACTTATTATTGAGATTATAGATTTATTCTTAATTTTCTTGATTCATCACTTATAGCGATATGTAAAATATAAGAAGAGAAAGGAAGAATATGCATTGTGTATTACTTATTATGATTAATATTTATTTGGTATGCATTGTATTAGATTATATAATCATATTTAATTATGTAAGATATATTATAAATCTGATTAGATTATGATTATCGATCAATAAAAAAAATTAATTATAGTAAAATTCTTTACGATGTGATCCGGACAAAAATGAATTCTTCTAATTATCATCTTAAACTCTCTGTTATCGTCTATAAAAGAAAGGATCTCATGAGAATAATACTCTCGTTTATAAAAGGAAATAATCTTTTACAGATTAAGTAGTTATTAATGAGATTATAGATTTATTCTTAATTTGTTTTGATTCCTCAACTGTTAGATACGGGCTTTACAACCTCCTCTGCAAATGGTCTCTTGTTTGATTGCAGAGTTGACTTTGTAGTTCTCTTTTGGCTACAGCAACATCAACAACAACCAATTTGTCTTCAATAGCTTTTCATCTTGCTTCAGAGAAGATGCTGCTAGCTTCTGCCATGATGTGGACGCCATTACATGCCTTCACATTGGTAAATGTCAACCTCTCATGTAAAACTCAATCTACAGTCCTCAAAAGTCCAGTGGATATTAATCACTTCGAGATAATCTGAAATATTCAACTTCATTGGATCAACAAGCTGTTAAACACTCATATATAATTATGGTTCATCAAAGGCTCGAGAAGAGTCTCATACTGTTTCATCAACAAAGACTATGAGTTTTCGTCTTTATGCACTTGACATTTCAGAGGACTCTTCAGCTCTAATTTGAAGTGCATGAATTCGATGACTAATATTCTTTCCTTTTCAGTTGATGAAACAATGCAAGACACTTCTTAAGCGCTTGATGAACAAACGAGTCTTTAACATCCTGTAGATGCAAAGATGTTGAATATTATAGATTATTTCCGAGTTCAACGATTAAGACTAAGATGTATACTCGAGCCAATGAGATTGTTTCGGATATGAGACTTATATTCACCAATGCAATGACATAGACTCTATCTACGAAGATGTACATAACTAAGGCAGAAACTATGAGTAAATTTCTTGACATAAGATAAAACCTATTAAAAAGAAATCGGTAGGAAATCGCCTTATCAGTATCGCCCACCTATCGAAAATAAATGTTATGATATTTCAAGGTTTCAGACAAAATATAGAAATCGATCATTGAGGATAAACATTAATAAAAAAAATTAGTATAGAAAATTATTCATTCGAATGATATGATAGTATGAAAAAGACTAAATTGTTTGAAGCTCGCATAGAACCAAAAGAATAGGTTCTTTAGAAGAGAGTTGGATGGATAACTCACATA